TAAAATACGAGCGGTGCAAAATTAAAAAACGCATCAACTTTTGTAGGTAAATCATTTCCTACGAAAGCAGAAATACGTAAATTTTAAAATTCTTTGCTTTTCTCAGTTACATAATAGCATTAGCTAAACAAATTTACCACGTTTGGAAAAATATCCTAAGGACCGGCGTCTCAGACTACACGAAAAGTGAAAACCTATATTTGTTTGAACGGTTTAAGATCGATTCAGCATGGCAACCAAACCACTAAACCTAGTCACCTCCAATCGTAGGAGGGTTAACATTAGGCTGTTGGGTCTTGAAAACTGTGAATATCAAACTGCCAATAAATATGCAAGTAACAAAAAACTAACATTATAAACAAGAAGTCGCGAGAATTACTGTTATTTTTGAAGAGTGCTGCGTGTACCTTGATCATTCTGCTGTCTTCTAACCTAGACATAGACATGGCAAGGATCATGGACAATAGCAAAATGTCCCTAAAGTTCAACAAAAACTAAAGTTTCGCAAAATTCTCGAGGTTTTTTAGGATCAAGTCTTATGGAGATTAACATTATAATAAGTTCAGATGGTGATAATATTCCACACGAAAGTAAATTTTAATAATTCTGAGTACATTTTGGTAGACCACTATTCTGTTAACTGCCTCAAGGAAAAAGTTTCAGAAATGCATGCTTTTACCATGTAAAATTCATAAATATATGACAAGAAAAGTGGGAACTGAAGGGTTGGAGGTAGCTTGGGAAAATTGTTGTCTTTTGGGTTTAAGTTAATCGATGGTCAAAATCTCATCGACTGCTAAGTTAACAGTCGCTTGGGCTATAATATTGCTGATAATAGCTTGTTTGGAGTTAAGCAAATGGGGACCGTTTTATACTGTATCACTACTTATGACTCACCCCTTATACAAATTCTGTAATTATTGATATGTAGCAAAATTATAAAAATTAGATAATTACGCCAATAAAAGTCAAACCAACGTTCTGAATCTGTTTATTGAAAAAAGTTTTCGACAAAATTATTTTTATAAGCTGAAAGCTACAATGGAAAAGAATAAAGAGAAAAAGGTAGCCTTGTAGGATGAGTGTCCAGAAATGTGACGAATTGATAAACTCATCTTGAAACGATTGTAGATATGTATATATGTAGATACTTGCGTACACAAATACTTATAATAATGAATTGCATGTGGTGACACTTTTGTGAAATCAACTGCTGGCTAAGAATCTTGAGTAGAGATGGAGACGATTTACTTATTACATATACGGTTATGCCTGATAATTCCAGATCGACCCATTTTTAACGATAGTGTCAAGACATTGGCGCTATTCCTAAGCGTACATACATATACATATGTATCTAGTTATGTACCTTAATACATAAACAATATTTTCCCAAAGTATGCTGGGCATAAATCTGTCAATGTTATCGTTTGGTTAACCAGTTGTGAGAATACCATAGTCAGCAGGACCTCCTCAATGCGGTCATTCATCTTTAAGTCGAAAGGATTCATTGATTCAGATGACCAACTCATTGGGCGGTATAAATAATTCGGTTTGCCATCCTTCGCCATGCCCTTACTACACCAATGTCGTAGCTGATCAATGTTTCCACTCGCCATGAATGTTAAAAATCCTATCAGATGTGCATTCGTGAGTGGCATACAGTTCAGTTTCAAGTTGACACTATGAGGAATAAATGTACATATTTTAACCTTTGCAGCCAAGCTGATAAGTTGAAGCCGAAAAATTGTTGGATCAACGGTCCCCGCGGAACGCTCATCTTTGAACTCTTCTACAGAGTTTGTAGTGACAAGTGTAACGGCAGATGGCCATGTCTGGAGTGTGATTCGGCCCAAGAAACAGAACTTCAGATTATAACTACAGCTGCAGAAATTTTGTTTCGTCGCTACATAAACCCAGTGATGAAAAGACTAACCCATATTAGAAGTGCCGAATAAACTCGGATTAACGATGACGAGAGGCAATTGACACAGTAGGACTGACTCGTACCCGGCTAGAATCAATGATGGGAACGCTATTCCGTTTGTGTGAACTAAATTCGTAAGAATCGGGGTGAATGGATGAGTTCACCGGCATGTGTACAATTCTCACAGGAACAATGGGCATAGGCCAGACGTACGCGTGTCTATCCTCGTGTTGAATTTGCAGATCGCAATTTGTTAAGCCATCGAGAAGGTGCGTAACATCAATTGGCTCTTTGTCATGGACAGCTGGTTGAGCATGTTTCGATAAAAATGCTAAAATGGATAAAACCCAGTGAAATTTAGTTGGTTGCTTCATTTTTGTGCTGTAATTAAAATTTTCTTATTGTGAGTGGCGACGAGAAATAAATTCAGTTACAGGACGCTGATGTCTGATTTGGAACAATTACAATTTCACAAATAATATTGAACCCGGTGAACAAAATGGAGAAAATTGCTTATATCATATGTCACAGTCCAAATTTTACGTTTTTTTCTGAAAGAATGGCACTAAAAACTTACCCTACTGTGAATTTGTTTGTAAACGAGTATTTCAAGCTACATAACTTCTGCTCGTTAGTATCAGAACGTCGAGCCTATAAAATTAGAAACTCATACCGTGCCCATTACACAAGGCGACAGGTATGTGTGTATGAGTCTCAACTTGTGATTGTACTGTATCACGACACATCGACTCCTCAAAAACTACGATTTTTGCTAGTACGTACCGGCCAGCATAAAATTGGATAGCAAAGCAGATGCCAAAGTCATCGATTAGTGCAATCGTACGTTGAAAAGCCCTGGTAAGCTTGATAAGAATCAGTGTTGCCGATGAGTTATAAATGAGTTTTCCATAAATGCACTATAAATAGTCACCGACTTGTGCGAAATTGAATTTATAACGAATTTATAACCATTTACGGTTCTAACCGGGTTTACCCATAAGCCGACTCACCTCCGGAAACACTACAAATTTTCGATCCACCGTAAAGCTATAATTCAGGAATGGGATCAGTTTCTGTTCGAATAAAGTGTTGCAAAATTTGAAACCGAGCTAACAATGCACATGTCAGACAACTTTCTTCCGGATCCTCTTAAGACTAAAAACTCGTATATATATAACTTAGCGTAAACAATGGTTAGTCTGGCACTTGAGCATTTCTGCAGAATTCATGCACTTATATAAGAGGACGTATGTAAGTTGACAAAAATGCATATTTTCAACATAGCAAAGCGGAGATATGAATGCTACATGGTTTTAGGTGGTGAAAATGCTCGGTTGTCCCAAGCTAAAACCCTCTTAAGTCTGATAGTCCTGCAGAAGTGCGCAAGTGCCACACTAACTGTTGCACAGGTTTGGGTTTATGACTTAATTTGTTACTACGGGTGTTGAGAAAATCCGTGAGAAACAAATGTGACATGTGCATTGTGAGACTCTGATTGGTCGAAAAATCTTAGAACACATCCAACCAGAAACACAAGTTATATCTTCAAAGATTGCGGGATTTGGATAGTTTTTCTTGTAAAGATCACCCAGTTGCTAGCGTAAGCAGCAGAATAAAAATCTTTTTTGCGTCGCAGACAAAGGTTGCCAAACCGTCTATTATTATCTCTGTAATATCGGTTGCTAGACGATAGCGGCGACAAAACAAAAATCAATTCCACTAAAACATCAGTAACATTGCAATAATATACTCAAAATAAAAATTTGTCGAGTCAACACCGCCAGTGTCAATATATGACTTAACCGCCTTGGTTACAATGTTGAATCCGAGTTATGATGATTTTGATACCGGTAGTTATAATGTTATGACCGGACGGAAAAATTCATTACTACTCGGAATCACAATTGTAACCAAGGCGGTTAAGTCATATATTGACACCGTTTTGTTTTGAGTGTAAATTATCGGAACCAAAAAAGGTTGAACATTCTTAATCCCATTTTCAACAATATTTTTGACTTTTTACTCCGTTCGTACATACGCGTGGGTTAGATTTGTGGTACGTCTGCTGGGAAAGTTCCCGGGGGTTTTAAATTTGAATTATTTTAAGCAAATTTTGAAAGTTTCAGGGAAATCGTGGTAACATTTCCTTTAAAATGACACCAAATTTGATTTTTATGCTTTTTCTGACCTATGACCTCGTCGTCATAAGGTCATAAGGTCTAAAAAATTTAAGTCTTTGAAATCGAGGGCAAATTTCCTCTAAAATGACACTACACAGTGTAGTGTCACTTATGTACTTCCAAAACTTAAGTTAGCTCTAATTTTTGTACATATGTGTAGACTACACATACGAAAATTAGAGCTAACTTAAGTTTTGGACCACACCCAGTGGCGCCGTCGGGGTGGTCGTATTCACACCGTTTTCGAAATCGACCGAGAACTACAAATTATAAACACACTGTCAAAAACTGGGTTTGATTTTTGATTATATTGACTTATTCTGGACATATCATGCTTAGAGGCAGACAGACGGACGGACGGACAAAACGATCACAATAAGTAGCTGTCGCTACTTAAGCATAAAAAATGATTCTCCAGATATGAATTTCAATCAATTAATCAACATATTAAATGACATCTGGCCTTTGGCCCTTATCATACAAATTTTATTACAATTAAGGTAAAATTACTATCGATTAAATATTAAATCCCATAAATATGTCGAAGATCTTAAGTATTATTATAATTCTCAGAGTATGAAAATAAGTCATGAACTATTTAATAATTTTATTCATCAGAATGTTCACTAATGATTCATAAACGCTAAAAAAATATTCAAATGGGCAAAATATGTATGCTTCACCCTAATTCGCACTATAAAAATAAAATTTGTTTAAAAAATATACCCTTTCCGGAGTTAAAAATATACAAACAAAGCGTAAGAGGTGACAGATATTTTCCATTGCTACCAAGGGAGCGTCCATAAATCACGTGATCGATTTTTTGACAATTTTGACCCCCTCCCCCCTTGGTGACCAATGGTGATAAATTCATTACTCCCCCCCCCCCCCGTGGTCACGTGACAGGTTACACATTAAACCTAAAGTACTGTAAAACGCATGAAACCTATTTTTCCCCAAGTGTGATTTTTTGTGGCGGATTTTTTTCGCAAAAAGTTTTTTCGCCAAACTATATTTATTTCCGACACGACCATCCATGGCACAAATTAATCCAATAATAATATTCCTGGGTCTTTTTTTAATCCACAGTTAAATTAAATTTTAAAATTATCGAAAGAATGATTTAATTACTAATGAGTAAGTATAAAAAGTAATTTAACATTCATGATATCTTAAGGACAACTGCATACACTATATTTCTGAAAGAATAACGAGAGTTCTATGAATGTGTACTGAAATTTGGAAGAGTGGTACATATATGCAAACCAGACCCAAGATTGTCAACTAAAAATTTAAAAATACGCCGTATAACGAATTTAAGATAAAAGAGGTTAACTATTAAGTAAACACATATTATTAAATTTATTTAAGGCGCGTGATAACATGCGAAGAGACTTTATTGTTACTCTCTTCACATTTCACATTTACTGACATCAGAACTTAAAAGACAAGCATTTCGTGGCATATCACGTGACTGCCGACCATTACCCCCCCTCTTGGTGATAATATGCGACAAATTTCAGACCCCTCCCCCCCCTATGATCGATCACGTGATTTATGGACATTCCCCAAGTTTATCAATTCCTCATGGCTTCATTCAAGTCCCTCCAGGCCTGAAAAATATTTATTTGGTTAGTAAATAAATTTTACAATACATTCTAAATAAAAATACGTAAAATTTCCTTAAGATTGAGTAAAAAATAGAATGACACAACCAAAAGGTAAAATTTGTCCAACTGGGGATTAATTTTGCACAACGTCGGACAATTTTTACCTTTTGTTTGTGTCATCGTCTTTTTTTTTACTCAACTTTGAGTAAATTTTACTCATTTTTATTTAGAGTGTAGGGGTTGAAAAATGGAAATTTTTCAATTTTTTGTGTTCTGCTCACCTTTGGGTAATTGGTCTGCCAGTGGCGCGCAACTTTGGCGAGGCGACGTTGCTGGTCTGGATTACAGACGCGACATTCCGTCGTTGTAATTCCCGCGTATCGAAGGGAGTTAAAAAGCCCTGGAAAAATTATTTGTTAGTTTGTAAATACAGTAATTTTCAAAATTTCACAAACTAATAAAACACTTGTAATTTATAATCGTTCAAATTCTAGTTTGCCCATTATCCAAAAACCTTAGTAGTTTTAAGTCAAATTTGATAAATTAAAAAATTCCTAAAATTGCTTTGTAAATGTCAAAAATAAGGAATATTAAATTACATCATACTTTTTATCTCGTTTCCAATCTTGTCACATGGCCCAGAGTAGAGCAAGCAATTAATGTGGTACTCCACGAGGCGGCGATTTTGCAAATATGTGTCGACATTAATCCTGTTTAATTATAATCAAATTTAGCTTAATTAGCTACATAAAATTTCAATGAATTATATTACGAAATTTTAGTCACCAACCTTTCCAAAATTTCCGATGTGACACCCTGTCCAGTCGTCGTCTGAGTTAGCATCATCATCACTGCAGCAGCCACCAAGAAGACAAATTTCGTCCCCATTGTGAAATTTGTTATTGAAAAATGAGCTGCAAAATGATTATATTACTTACTTATTAAATTAAGCTTTAAAAAATTGAACGCTTCGTTCCCACTCGAAACGCGTAAACCACGCAAATCTATAACTTTGCAAAAAATCGAGTTACAAATTTGTAACACAGATTAATCTATGTATACCAAGAAAAAATGTGTAGCGTAATTTTAGAAAATTTTGAAAAATTGATATCTTAAGTTGTCCAGAAATTTATAAAATTTCCGTAATGAAAATCCTGCGGCAAGATTGTCTCCAATTTTTTGCAATCCTTATAAATTAAATATGCCAAACGATTTTTAAGGGCTCAAGTTAATCAGTGCTTACCAAATGATAATTTTAGAACTCTCCCAAGTTTTCGCTGGATCGTGATGAAGTTCAAAATGTGACTGACTAGATCCTGAAAAAGTGGGTGACATTGTACTCTCCGTCCTTTAAGGGCTCAGTCCTTGACTAAGCTTCCCTTACCTTGAAATACATCAAAGCAAAACTCTATTTTTACTTCAAAAACAAAGTAGCCAACTAAAGTGATCCAAGAGAAATACACATCTCCAACGAATAAGTACACTAAACCTACAAATAAATGATCTACAAATAAATGATAAATGTTTCTTAAAAGAAACAAAGATACCCACTTCCACTGGGTCAAATCCAAGGTGATTCTAAATTACGTGTTTTGAACAATAAGCTACATAACCTTTACCTAAAATATATTTTAGGAAGCACGTATACGGAAAATGTACCTTTTCCATGATCCAAAGACGCCCTTGAATCTATGGGAAAACCTCGCATTTTACCAAAACAACACAACTATTTATAAATCAAGGGTCACTGTGTACTTGAGGTTGTTACCTTCATTTATAAATGTCTGCATACATATATAGGATAACTATGTATTTGTACAAAATCCTATTCATTTTACAGCCACTCGCACTTTCATTGTATTGAGATTTTACATATTATACCGTAAAAACTCAAATAGCCGGGGGCTACTATTTACAAAATCGGTGTCTGGGACCCGGCTACTATTTGAGCATGGCTACTATTTGGGCACGGTCACTATTTATAAAATAACGGAAAGATGCACGGCTACTATTTGCACACAACTCTTGAATTTTGTTTCCAGAATCAAGCTCAAATTAAATTTTAATCACAGCACCAAATTCTCCCCTAGAATCCCAGTCTATGACAATTCTATTGTTTAAACCTGCTCTTAATCAATTTCTTCGATGAGCCGAATTTCGTGTTCCCTTCGATTTTTTGTATGTGAATGCGATTAAATTGAATTATAACTGAATTACTTAAATGACCTGACTAGGAGATGTGTGGTTAATTTGATGCACGGCTATAATTCGAACAAGGCTACTATTTGGGCAGGGCTACTATTTAGGCAAGGTCACTATTTATAAAATTATGAACAAACGCAGGGCTACTATTTGAGCACGGCTACTATTTGAGCAACGGCTACTATTTGAATTTTTACGGTAAGCTAAACCAAGGAGCAAGTATGACTCAATTTGGATAAAAATACACCATTCCTCCATGGTAAATATGTACAACGTACATAATTTGTGGGCAATGTCAATGCAACGACGGAAAGCACGTTTTGGAAATTTATGTATAATAAAATAACGTTAAAACTTATTAACGACAAATTGTTATGAATATTAATACTTGGTTTGTGTATGCAAATTTGTCAAAAAATTGAAATTTAGTAAGGAGTAAATTCATAAAACACTTTGCCACAAATCTAGAATTCATAGGGTATTCACTTTAAAAAAAGATGGAAACATAATTTTTAGGAGTGTAATGTGTAGATTGTGTTTGTTGGTTCGGTCCGCAGACATGCAATTTAAGACAGTATGTGATTCGTTAATGACATTCATCGAGTAAGGAGGAATATTTTATAATTTTTGCACTTGATTTATTCATAAATATAAACCCTTTCTTGATTTCACGCGGCTCGTAAAGATTTTATTAAATATTTCATGGTTACGATATAAATATACGCACACTCTTAAAAACCCGGGGTTAATATCGTCACCGAACGGTGTGCATATGCATGCTAGCACTAGCTCTAGCTGGTGTCAATTTTGCCATAATTAGATGAGAAATATTCTGTGACGAAAAATCCGGGTTATTTAGAGTATGTAGTTTTGAGTTATGGGCCGTCCATAAATTATTCATATGATACAAAAATCACGATTCTTTAGACCCCCTGTTCCCGCTTAAAATATGTAACATACATATAGATATCACTGGTGCCTTAAATCCCCCTCCCCCCTCTTTCGTTACGTTATTTATGGACGGCCCCTAACTGCTATGTAACTTCGTGATATTTAGAATAAATAAATGTTTTAAAAAATCAGACTTGAAGTTTTTATTGCAAAAACTAAATATATATTTCTTTTAAATACTTCCTTTAACCACTTCACCCCTGAGAGATGCATATTTTTATAACTTTCACCCCTAGCAACGTGGAATTTTAACTTCCCTTGACCCCTGGAATTCTCATCTACTGCATGACGTTAATTTCTGGGATATGAATTACAAAATGATGTTCCCACCGGAATTATTCTGGAAACTTTTTTATGAAAGTTGATGCGAATAATAATTTGGGCACGGATTTTGAGTTGTGCTTTGCATTTTTGAGAACCACTAATGTTTATAGCCTAAAATAGCCAACACGCCGAATTTTAAAAGTGATTGTAATTGCATGAAAAGTTAAAGAAACATTGAGTAATACTTGCAAAATAGTACATAAATTCGCAAAAATCGAATATCGTGCCTCAAGCTCCCCTGAAGCCAATTTGGGCGGGAAAATTAAACTTCGCAAATATTGCTTTCAATTCGTGACATAGGCTACAATTAATTTAGTTATTACACTAAAATGTGTAACAATTGTCTCTTGTACATCTGGCATGCATAAAATTTAGTGATTAAATAGAACTCAATTTTAAGCGGGAAAATTAAATTCTATTAGTTTCAGACAGTCTCTTAATTTTCCCGCCCAAAGAGATTCCACCAGCTCCAGATGCGTAATAATTAATTTTGACGAATTTTGTCATACTGGCAATATTATTTGTAGCCTATATATTATTTTATACAATTCATCCAACGTTTAGTTTTCCCGTCAAAAATGCCCGTTGGTGCATTCTAAATTCGATAAAAACAATTTCCCTAATCTTATCTAAAAGAACTATTGAAATAGGCGACGAAAACCCTATCCAACAGCAGTTTTCAAAACTGGGCGTGTTGGCGAGAAATAGCCGGATGGCTATAAATTGTTTTTACCTTCCTTTATAACATTGACTAGAGTAGAGGCCCGTTCAAGAACGGGTTCTAGGCCCCCAGAGGGGGGTGTGCCCATAGCGCAAAATCCCTAAACTTTAAATAATTTCCAGTAGAGACTTTGTCCCTTGTCATAGCGCATACATGCATCAAAGTGCCCAAGTCATGCTGTATTTCAATTTCCCTGGTTACGGAACAATCTGATTTCCCCCTGTGGGAGTGGCTGGATAGCTAACCACTTAAATTCTCACGTTCCACGCTCCCATTAACTTCCACAAACCCCGTTTACTTCCACGATCCCCGTTAACTTCCACAAACCCCGTTAACTTCCACAATCCCCTTTAACTTCTACAATTAACGCCAAGCTATTGACGGCGTTGGATTCAGCGTCAAAATACATTCGAATTGATATGCGACATCACGAATAAGCCATATTTGAACCCCACGGTCACGGGAAGGTCACGGGGGCCTCGCAGGTCAAAACCGTTGACGGCGTTGGATTCAGCGTCAAAAATACATTCGAATTGATATGCCACTCGCTGTGGGTGGAGTTTCTCAAACTAAAATAATTAATTAATAGTGATTATCACGATGACTTATCATGATAACCACTATTGATGAGTGATGTATGTGTGTATGTATATGCTGCTCACTCAGTGTACATTTTCATGCATGTATTCGTTCATGCAATGTGGTGGTGGTGGTGGCTCCGCTTTTTTCTTTGTCTCCTCTACTCCTCTCCTCATTTGCATAATTCTCCACAGCCAGCCAGGCAGGCAGCCAGGGATCATCGTGGCTCTTTATTAGAGTGGATTCCCAAGAGGAAATTCATCCTCCTGCCCAAAGGGCGGGTTATTTACTCAAAACTATACTTGGAAGAGCAATGAGCTAATTTTTTTGCGAATACGACACATAGTCGTAGGCCGGTGTGAACAGAAAATACGCCACATAGTCGTATCCGTTGTCAAGGGTCAATACGACACATTGTCGTATTCCGGTGCCAAGGGAACTTACGCCACATGGTCGTATCCGGTGTAAAGGTCAAATACGTCACATAGTCGTTATAGGGGCGAAGTGGTTAAACTTTATGTATATCGCAACACGAAATTGTATATCAAATTGCATATCAAGTACTTGCCTAATCCTCAGCTCTGCAAAACTCACTTTAAAACAGCAGGATCGCAGCACTTACATATTCAACAATGCCAAATACATAATCCGACAACATGTTTCTCAGTATCTCTAAAACCAGCTCACCTTTTTCATAGCCATCAGTTGCGTAACCCTACAAAATGGTACAGACAAGATCGATCTTTTTTTTGAGTACACATTTTAATGAAATTGAATCATAAAGATTTAGATTTACATATTTATGGATCTCAGTTAATAAGTGAACAATCTTAAACGAATGAGAATGAAAGAGTGAAACCAATCCGTTGTATGTACATATGTGATCAATTTCTATAAAATAGAATTCTTAATTTTCCGAATCAGTTTCTACCATTGTCTCAAATTTCTATAATTCCTAAAGTTGTCTCAAGTTTTATTTTCTACTATTGTCTCAAATTGTCCACAATTGTCTCAAACTTTCGCAATATTTTATTTTTCCCAATAATAAACGCACACCTCGTCGCAACCCTCGTTTTAATTGCCACTTTCTCCCCTTCAAAATTAACTGGAACCTACTGCTGACCGTTATTTGAAATTGCAATCCGTTCAAGAGTAAATACTCGATTATATGTATTTATTTGTGGACTGACAGACAAGACATTGCCATAGAAGTATTTCAGATTTTAATAAATACCCTGTGATACAGACGATTATTCTATTTTACATACTAAACGTTATTTATAGCCGCGAAATCTACTTTACATAACGTTCACACTTATTTTCCTCCTTGTTCTGATCATTTCCATCGTCACAAAAATGTCTGCTTCCCAAGAAAATCCTGCTCCATGCGAAACAACGAGCGACGTCTTTTCCAAAGGATTTTTACAAAATGCCTTAAAAATAGAGGCGAAAGGCGGCCCCGTCCCGGAAATAACTTCCTATTTGACCACCCTTGGCACAAAACCGGGCGATAATTATGGCAGCATCATTTACTCCGTGGATATCGACTTATCCGACGGAACGAAGCGTTTCTTTGTTATCAAATGTTATCCGAACCATCCCGGCCGACAAGAATTTGGCAACACGAGCAACATGTTTTTTAAAGAGTGTGAAGTCTACTCGAAATGGATCCCGGAATTGGGTCGGATGCAGAAAGAAGTGTTTTCCCTGGATGAAGAGGAACGGGTTAAGTTACCCTATGCGAAATTTGTGCATGGCGAATGTATCGATTTCCAATCGGAGGAAGGTAAATTATTTAGTTCACAAAATAATTTAAGGTTGGAGTCGATGTCTCACAATAATCAGCGAATTTTTAATCATTTCTCGCAATTTATTTTAAAATTCTGGACGCCAAATTTCTAGAGAAAGAGATTACTACCGATTTTTTTTAGATACATATACACTCAGATTTTGAAAGGTTTTGAAGGTGGAGATTTCAAGTTTAAGAAAATTCTTGAAAAATTTCTCGTCCTGAATTTTAAAATAAATTCCCATATGCGAGAAATTAACAAAAAGCTGCTGATTTTGACGATTTTGGTGTTGAGTCCTCGAATTATAGGTTAATAGATCTCATATTTAATTTAAATTTTAAGAACAAAATTACAAAAATAATAATTTAAAATTAATTTTGATTTAATTTTAATTAATTTCTGTTTTAATTTAAATTACTTCAAAAATGTAATTTTTGAAACATATGCATGTAGATACATAATTTTAACAATGATTCCTATTCTTCAGGTCAGGCCCGAAAATCTGGGGTAATAAGTTCCCTTGACAATTTCATAATTATGGAAGATCTTCGAAAAACGTACGGATTTCGGATGAGTAATCGTCTCGTACCTTTCGACCTGGATCACATGCACCTCGTTATTGAAACCCTAGCAAAAGTACATGCGATAAGTTGGGTCTATCGCAACCACGTGGAATCACAAATTACGGAAAAGTTTCCCTGTTTGGTGACAAACCTCCGAATGGAAAACATGGAAATTTGGAGTAGCGTCATTAACGCTAATTTGGAACAAGCGAAAGAAATTTTTGATAAAGAATTTGGCCCTGGAAATAATTATTCTGCCTCAGCAGACAAGTTTGCTGGGATGGTTGGTAAAATATCTGAATTGACTTGTGGCGGAGATGAAGATGGGACTGGGATAGAAAAATTGTTGCGAATTACGAATCCTGATCCGGTAAAGTTTGGGAGGGATGCGAAAAATCCGGGTAAGTGCCATGCAGAAATTGAGGAAGGATTTGTAAGTGGGTGTATTCACGACAAAGTTTTATTTGGCTTATACCTTGCCTCATTTCGCAAATTTGCAGAAATGATAAAGTATGTAAATAAGAGGATTCGAAAAGTATGACAAATATTGCAAATATCGCAAAATTTCTTATCTTTGATTTATTTATATCGCTGCATGAGTGCGAAATAATTGTGTAAAATGGAAACATCTCCAGTTGCTGGGGAAATTAAAAGAAATTCAATTGTTTTCCAGCAAACGTCGTAAATTTACCACAAATTCGCATATTGATATGCTTAGTTTGCGAAATATGCAATGTTTGGCGTGAATACACCCAATACAATGTTAATATTCAATTCAAGAATTTTAAGTTGAGTCATTTATTCATGATTTATTAATTAATATTTTTGAATAAAGTAATTCATAATTAGTTCATAAATCACAAATATTCATAAAAAGTTAAATTTGCAATTTATCAACTTTAACAACTTTAACACATATTTAATTATTCCCCTGTACTTAGAACCTTGGCGAATCATTTGTCACGGGGATTGCTGGAGCAACAATATGCTCTTCCGGTACGATCCCAAGAGTGGAAAACCGCTCGAAATCGTACTCGTTGATTTGCAACTTCCGCAAGAATCCTGCGTCGTGAATGACCTCGAATACGTCTTTTTCGTCTGTACGTCGTTAGAATTTAGACGAAAACATACCGACACTCTTCTCCAGCTTTATCACGATACTTTTAACGGGATCTGTGACAAGTTTGAGACCCCAACTCTTCCCGGATTTTGTATGGATTCACTCCGATTTCGGTTTCATCGGGGTAAACTTCTCGGCTACTATTTGGCCATGATGGTGCTCCCGATTATCTTGAAGGATGGGAACGTCACCAACATGGAGGACATTGAACAAAGTAAAGATATCGCGGAGGCGTTCATCGATATTTGCAAGGCTGATGAGAATGCTTTGCTTAAAGGGAGGCTTATCGAAGTTATGAAAGGGATGATTGAAGATGGGGTATTTTAAGGGGTCAGATTTTAAGATAAATTTTTGAAACTTTAAAACCCCTCAAATTATTATCTGAATGACATTATAATGATATGTAAATTTTTAAATTGATTATTATTGCTTGATATCAAATTGGGAATATTTTTTAATTAAGGAAGCACGTGTTACCAATACCATAGGAAATCACAATTTGTTCATTCCTTGCTAAAAGGAAGACTTATTGAAGGGATGGTTAAAGATGGGGTGTTGTAATGAATTTTATTTCGATTTTGAGGGAAATCTTTGAATTTTAAAGATTTTGAAATGATGTAAATATATGTATGAAGTTTTAAATTGATAATTATTAATTGGAATAAAATTGGGAATATATGGAATTTGAATGTGTTTGGACATATTTGGAATACTTGGAATTATGGAGACACGTGTTACCATCACGGTTTGTTCAGTTTGTAGTGAGTACCCCTTTTTTGGTGAATATAACTATGCCCTTCAAAACGACATATACATATATACATATCAATGCAATCTTATAGCTAATTTTCCTGAATATTTATCCATGTGCAAAACACCATAATTCTTCATATTTGAACTCATTTTTCTGATTTTGCTCCATTTTGTCCATTAGGTACTTACATACATTTCATAATAAAGGCCATATGCAATTCAAATTATGTTCATTTTAACATAGCAACGCTGGGGATGAGTGTTCCTCACAACAAGAAGGAAATGATTCTTGCAAATGTAGCTACATATTTACCAGAGGTGAGATGGGTCAAGGTTTTTGAAAACCCGACCCGCCCAAGCCCGACTTACCTGGGTACTAAAAAAACCCGACCCAACCCAACCCGACAGTTTGCAGTTCGACCCAACCCAACCCAAGTTTAGCATTTGTTTGCCCAACCCGCTCAAACCCGACTAAACCAGAACAAAAAATGACCCAACCCAACTCCGTCTCATTTCGCCCCAATATTTTACAAAAGAGGGCAACAGCAAATGAGAATTTCAAATGTTTATTTACCTTCAATAATAATTAATTTGCTTGCTCAAAAACTGTGTTCATGATTTTGAGCAAATTTCTTCAAGCATTTTGTAGTTTTGTGATAAAGTTCAAAAAAGAAGTAGTAATACATAGAAGGAAACATCAACGTGCTGGAATTGTGGTTATCGAAAGTAGAATATCCGAACTGCCGACGTCGACAGAAACATTAAAAGATAAATCCAGTTAGATTTCTGATTTTGGCACCGAAATGATTTGCAAAAAAAGAAACGTATTGCGTTCTGCACGCACATGGGTAAAGACAACACTAGTGCCCCATATGGAGAGAATGTGAAACTAAAATGCCAAACCCAATCCTCAACCCAACCCATACTTTTCTACCAAAATGCCCAACCCGCCCAAGCCCGGCTTGAACTATTAGGCCCGAACCCAACCCGCCCGACTCCTTAATTTTTTTTGCCCAACCCGCCCAAACCCGGATGGGTTGGGTTGGGTCGGGTTGAACCCGACTGACAAGGAAACATACCGAGGTGTCCAACGAGTTAAGGGTCGACACCTATACCAAAATGACCACAACACATGACTTATTAAACAAACTGAAGGAATTTCCGTGTAAAATTCATTTTTCGTCAAGTTGTGACGATATTTGTGACGAGCGCATGACCATCGGGATGCCAGCGGGAGAGGTCGGCCGCTCAATGATCAGGTCGAACACAAAGAAGCGTCGTCGTCTTCACGTCGTCTTTAGAGATTTCAAATTCTATCAAATTTTGAAAACCACTTGAAATTTTGAAAACCACTTGAAATTTTGAAAAAAATTGAAATTTCTTCAAAATTTCAAAATTTTCTCAAATTTTCAAAATTTTCTCAAAATTTCAAAATTTTCTCAAAATTTCAAAATTTTCTCAAAATTTCAAAATTTTCTCAAAATTTCAAAATTTTCTCAAAATTTTTTCAAAATTTCAAAATTTTTTCAAAATTTCAAAATTTTCTCAAAATGTTTTCAAAATTTGAAAGAATTTAAAATCCCTGAAGACGACGACGCTTCTCTGTGGTCGACCTGATCGTTCAGCGGCCGACCTCTCCCGCTGGCAACCCGCTGGTCATGCGCTCGTCACAAATATCGTCACAACGTGACGAAAAGTGAATTTTACACGGAAATTCCTTCAGTTTGTTTAATAAGTCATGTATTGTGGTCATTTTGGTATAGGTGTCGACCTTTAACTCGTTGGACACCTCGGTATGTTCCCTTGTGAGTCGGGCGCCCATCTCACCTCTGATATTTACATAAACATTCAAGAAGATTAAATTCAATGTTTTGCGTATGCAAATATGTATGTACATACATATATGCTTGATCCACTTTGCCAAAGTATTAGGCTTTATACATCCATACCAGTGCATCGCATGCATATAAATACTTAAATAAGTAAAAGTTTAATTACTTAAGAGGAGCAAAGTAGTTAAACTAATTAAAATAAGCAAACGTTTTTTGCGCAGTATTTCATGGAATTTTTACCACGAAAGTCCGAATTCACAATAAGATTTTTATTGTGAATGCTTATTAAGTCGTTAAACAAATTTCTCTAAATTCTCAATGCTTCATTTACAAAACAACAAGTCCAATTTCTATTTACTAACCTATTCAATATTTTTGCACACATTTTATGTCCATGTTTCCCCATCCATTTACATATTGAACAATATCGGACATAGATTCACTTATTTGAAAAACTGCATCCTTGATGTTCACCTGTTCCCAGAAGTGCTTACTGTTGCTGACCGTGATTACCATATTATTCCTCCCTCATTATCTCAAGGGAAGGATCAGATCTTCTTTTGGGAAGACCTTCTATCCCATATTGTTAAAATTAATGGAGACAATTCTTTTATAATTGAAAATAACAAGTCGTCAAACAAATCAGCCTTTTCAACCGTATTTTCCTCCGAAGTAGCCAAATATGGTGAAATCCTCGACCATTCTCCCGTCGTTCAAGCAAGACAACTTGTATCCAATTTTAGATTCTTCAATCGTGCCTTTTCCACATGTGGGGTGAACATTCTGCTTAATTATATTTCCAAGTTTAGTATCCCAAAGCGAATCTTCCTCATGGAGAGAAGTCCTTTTATTTTGAGGGGAAGGGTTAATTGGGGCACCGTAATATTGATATCATTGCAATCTCCGGACATTCAGGGCCATGGAATTAACGATGATTTTGTCGGATCGTGGAGAGTTTTCTTTGTAAGGACTTTCTTGTATGAGGAAAAAATTCTTAGAGAAGCGGGCCAAATATATAAAAACTTCAAGTTAGGTCGTTTTTTTGGGTATATACATTTTAACATCCACTTTCTCTGTGTATATTGCCCACCACTATACTTTCGAAAAATTCATCATGATTATCTCACCGTGATTAAATTTCAGAAAACAGCTCGCGTTGTATTTAATGTTTTTTTGTTAAAACCTGTATGGAATTTTGGCCATGTGAAATTCACTTCAAACGAAAAATTCCACTTTCATGATGCTCGGCTACAGGGGAGGAGGGTTACAGAAGTCTGTAAGTCGTCAATGCGTTACAGGCATGGCTATGCATGTTCGAGAAATGCAAGGAAAATAGCCACCTTGGAGAACTTGATAAATATTAGTTTCGTAAATGAGGTAAACTCAATACGTGGATTATGGGGTGGGGTTTCGTTCACGGTATTTCAAACGAACATACCTGGAAAAAGATTAAACAGATTAAGCCATCAGTTTGAACAAGGGTAAGGAATCAATTTTCAAGTAAAGTTTAACCAAAAAGTAGAGTAAAGATATCATTTTTAACCGTGTTTTTTAATTTCTCTACTATTTACCCATTTAGGTATAATGTGATTTACTGTGATTACGACATACATCCGGAACGTTTCTCATTTTTGATTTGGGTCATCCCCATTAAACCATTGGTTTGGATGTTGGTATTGATTAGCATTTTCGGCACTTGCCTAGTGCTATGGATTCACCGAAAAATCTTACTTCCCCCTAAACACATAACCTCAACTGGCGCATCCCCAAGCGACGTGTTTGATATATTTTCAGTACCACTCCGACAAGACGTGTCCTCATCTAAGGGCTCGATAAAAGACATATTTCCCTTTCTTTTCATTTTTCTTTCTTTCTCCTCTGTCATCATTCTTTCAGAGTATGAATTTTTCGTCACCGCGGAACTTGTTGTTCCCGAAGTTCCCAGAAAACTAGACAATCTTGTCGAAATCATTCACCAAGGATTCGTACTTCACAGTCAGATTCATCCAGATGCTGGGACGTCTGCTGAGATTAAGGTTCGCGAGACCTTGAAAGATGACTTTGTCAAATGGAATATTTCGGATAGATTGAACTCTTCGGTGAAGGAGGTAGGGCGAAACCAGTCTGAAGTTGTAAAGCTCTTTTCAAAATCGCGCCCAAAGTTTGCCATGATATCAAGAGTTTTGCCATTTCAAGCAATTTCATTGTTAAGGTTTGTGAATATTGAGTTGAAGGAGCGATACAACTGTTACCTTGTGGAAAATGTGGTTGACAAGAGAACAATTTATGACGATTTCGCCACCGCAATTGGGGAAAGGTGTAAGGAACTTATGGAAAAGTTAAGGGAGGCAGGATTTTACACCCTTTGGGAAAAGTGGAACGGGGTTGCTGGGGATATATTATTTATGCTACAAAGACGTAAAATGGCACATAACGGTAATAAGGTGACGGCCGATTATATCAGTCTAATCAATTTATTATCCTTTCAAATCATGTTTGGAGTTCTTTTGATGCTAGCAGCAATGGTTTTTATAGCTGAGTAGGTTCTGAGGCATACGAAGAAAACGATAATTCATGAAATTAGTGCCCTGACTATGTCATAATTCTTTACATTCACAAACTTACATATTCAGATACAGGATAAGGAAAACCACGGGTTTTTTACCCCGGAAGAAAATGTTTTAAATTCACGATTTGAATGCATGGAAGAAAAGAAAGTTGAGAAATAAAAAATCAAACTCAAAACTCCCATGCAATAGGACTTTTGGTCAACTCATCATGCACAAACTCATTCAGAATCAGGGTAAGGAAAACTCTGGGGTTTTGATATTGAAACCCCATACCCAGGGGTTTTACCTGGGTTTTACGGGTGGTTTAGGTAGGTGAGATTATGTGGTTAAGCAGAGCCAGTGTCTCATGTATTAAGGTTTGAAAGCAATCTGTTTTTTAGCAATCTCGCAACAAAGTTGCTTACTAATTTAATTTTAATAACTTGTTAAATTGTAGAATTGTTAGTAAAGTCCTCTTATCACGTTCTATAAAATCCCTACCTTTATCACATTTCTTGGTAAAATCGCGAAAAATGCACAGAGAAAAAAACGAAAGAATTAGGTGCGATCTACCAGCTTACGTTTTCTGGCGCACTTAATCTCCCTGATTGCACCTAGAATTCGAATAAATAACGAGTCACATGGTCCGAGAAAACATTAGTGTTCAAAAACTACTAATTTTTAGTTTTAACATACATAAATCAACATGCTCCCTTTTCCACAGCGGAAAAGCCTACATATTGATTCCGATCATGGATATGGGAGCGGTTTTTATATAAATATTTTAAACTTCAAAAATCCGTGTGTACATTTGCCCGACTTTTGGATTAAAACCCTGACGATAGCAAGCCTGGCTGACGCATTCTCAGTACATAGTTTATCTGTCTGCTCAATACGCCATACGCCCATTTAAACTTAAGGTGTTGTAGATAAGTGAAATTAAAATCAAATATGTACATATTAAACATACCGATTTGGTAATGGCGAATGTTCTCGCACGAAATAAGAATAATCATTTATTTTGCAACTGTAAAAAAACACTAGAGAAAATTAAATTTGATGCTTTACTTATACCAATATACACTTGTCCGGTCCACATCGCAAATGTTTATACCTTTCCATCGTGTGCAGATAAATATATGTATGTATACTCACCTTTATAAATTTGTAATTACTTAAGACGAGGACTTAAGAAGACTAAATTAAACCCATATTTTTGCACAGTATTCCATTGAATTTTGACCCCAAAAGTACGAATTCATGCATATATTAAAATACTCACTACTCTTTCAAATAAATTTCTCAATGTTACTTTTACTAAAAAACAATTCGTATTTATTTGTTTATTTTACAGTTTTGCAAACATATTTTGTCAATGTTTCCCCATATTTGAATACATTGAGTAATCTCGCGGAAAAATTTACGACTTTGAAAAAATGCGTCCTTGATGTGCACCTCTTTTCAGATGCGCTCACTGCTTCTGGTAATAATCGCCACGTTTTACCTAAGTCCATTTCTCGAGGCAATGATCATATCACATTTTGGGAAGATTTTCTCACCCATTTAGTTACATTTAATGGAGAAAATTCTTTCGTAATTGAAAACGAAAGTTCTTTAAACAAATCGACCTTTTCAACCGTATTTTCCTCGGAAACATTCAAACCTGGTGATAATTTCAACTATTTTCCCGCCGTGCCAGGAATAGAACTCGTCTCAAATTTTAGATTCTTCAATCATGCTTGTTCCAAATGCGCGGTGACAATTCTCCTTAATTATGATTCCTATCGGAGTGTCTGGAAGCGAATCTTCCTCCAGCAGAGAAATCCATTTATTTTGAGGGGGAGTGTAAATTGGGGGACTGTTTTGTTGACGTCATTCGAATCCCCGTATTTCCATCTTCACGGGATTACCAATGATTTGGCGGGATCCGGAAGAATTTTTTATTTACATGTCATCCTAATGGAGGAAATAAAAGGAAAAGAAGACACTAGGTTTGCGCACGTGCGAATACTCCCCAAATTTGCAGAACAAACTCAGCCATACAGGAAAACCACATACAATTTTCTTGAAAATTTTCAGCTTGGCCGTTTCCTTGACCGCGTACATTTCAGAATCTACTTTCACTGTGCATACTGCCCTCCCGAATTCTTCCTACAAATTAGTCTTTCGAAAACAAATCGCTTCCAACTTGACCTGTTTTTGTTTCAAAATCTCTGGAATTTCCGAGACGTCAAATTTACATCAAATAAAGAAGTAGATGTAGCTGCTTTTCAGATGCAGGGGATACATGTCTCAGAATTTTGTAAGTCATCCATGCGAGTAAGGCATGCTTTCGCGTGTTCAACCGCTGCCAGAAAAATGGCTACTTTGGAAAGCTTGATAAACATTAGCTTCGTAAATGAGAAAAATTCTGGACACAAATGGTGGGGAGGAGTGATTTTTACAACGTTTCGAACGAATATAGATGCACAGAATCTAAATAGATTAAGCTATCAGTATGAACAAGGGTAAGAACTCAATTTTAAGATATAATTTTGTCGTAAAAATAAATGGGTTGTTACTGTTCCGAAATTCAGAAGTTGGCGAATCAAAAATCGGTAGAGAACTGCCAGATCAAAATGTACCTAGGTAGGAACACCGGTTTGTTTAGGCATCTATGTACCCTGTAGAATAATTGTTTTAATTCAGATGTGGACATTCTCATTGGTAAATGAAGGTTTTGGTTCCTACTCCTAGTTCAAGTTAAATACTTAAATGGACTTCATGTACATATTACTCTGGTCCATGTGTTAAGAATTTTAGCCTGAGATGCAAAATGACAAGCATTCTCATGAAAATTCTTTCATTAATCTAAAACGACCAGATCTTTTACTGATTTTCTTGATTAAATGAAAGGCAATTCCCCATTTACTTTCATGTTTAAAGAGTTATGGAAACTAATATTTATCTACAAAAATGGGCCCGGTAACACATAGTTCAACCGATTTTTGATTCGATAAAGAATTACAAAACGTAATTATTGATTTTTTTACAAATGATAAACAAGTATGGTTTATAAAACGAATAAGCTTGTCTCCAGTATATCGTAAGAGAAAAGAAAATCTGAATTGTTTATCAAGCACAGGAGAAAGGCTCATATCCACATATGTTTGACAATGGTCCAAACCCTACGAAAAATAATTTTAGGTTATCTTTTTTTTCATAATAATAAGTGCTTAGCCAGTCAGTTCTTTGCTTCAAGCAATGCAGAAGAAGTTTTTTTTCTCTTGGCGCTCCCGATATTCCTTTTCATCATGCTATCGGGCATTGATTGCATAATCGATGCTGGAGTTATAAGCATAAATTTATCGATTTATTAATTTTAAAACTCTTGTTTTTTAACTATTTAGATACAATGTGATTTACTGCGACTACGATATCCGTCCAGAACGTTTCTCATTTTCGATTTGGGTCGTCCCCATAAAACAAATGGTTTGGATGTTCGTATTCATCAGCGTGTTCATCATCTGCTTAGTATTATTGATTCACCGAAGAATATTACTCAACCCTAAGCAAATGATCGCAACCTACATCCCACTAAACGACGTGTTTGATATATTTTCAATAATTGTCCGACAAGACGTTTCCTCGTCGAAGGGTTCGATCATGTACATATTTCCTATTCTTTTCATTCTTCTCTCATTCTCCTCTCTCATCTTGCTTTCCGAATACGAATTCTTTGTCACCGCGGAACTCGTTGTTCCTGAAGTTTCGAAAAAACTGGATAGTCTACCCGAAATTATTCACCAAGGATTTATCCTTCACAGCAGGATTCATCCGGATTCTGGGACTTATATCGAGTTCGAGGTTCGCGAGACCATGAAAAATGATTTCGCCAAATGGAATATTTCACATAAGTTGAACTCCTCTGTAAAAGAGGTGGGGCGAAGTGAATGGGAAGTTATAAAACTGTTTTCAAAATCGCGTCCTCAATTTGCCATGATTTTGAGAAGTTTGCCATTTCAAGGCATCTTATATTTAAGGCTAGTTAATCTTCAATTGAAGGAACGCTACAACTGTCATCTCGTAACAAATGTGGTTGATAGAAGGACAATTTATGACGAGTTCTTGATCGCAATTGGGGCAAGGTGCAAACAGCTTATGGATAATTTGAGGGAGGCTGGGTTTTATATCGTCTGGGAAAAGTGGATGGAACTCGCTGCAGATATTTCATTGATGATAGAAAGACGCCAAGCAGTTCAAGGTTATTCAAAAATGACGGCGGATTATATAAGCTTCACGAATTTGTTATCCTTTCAAATCGTGTTTGGAGTTCTATTAATGTTAGCAACATTAATTTTTGGAATTGAATGGCTTCTGGCACAGATGAGGAAAACTAGGACCCATAAAATTGTTCGTAAAACTGCCAAAGCAATTTCATAATTCCTAACATTTGCTTGCATATTTAAAAAAAATTGCTCATAATTAAGCAAGTAGTCTATTTTTAAATTAAATTTGAATGATTCAATAAATATTGATCATAAAATTGCTGAACACATTTCTTACACATCTATAAAAATTTATTTTCATTGTAAGAAAAATCTGTCATCTCATCCTCTCGTCGATTCAATAATCCAATCATGAAAGGCTCCAACATTCGTGTAAGTGCCTGGAATTCCGGTCGATCCGCATTTTTCCCTCGCGTAGGAGACCACCCCTTGCAGGACTCGATTACAAACTAAGGGACCTACAAACAAACAAAGGATGTATAACTAATCTAAAATACTACATACATACAGTCGAATGTGCAAAGTTTTCCAAAAATTGTATCATAAATCCCGCAACGTTTGATTTTTTGCACCATTTCCTCTTACATATATGCGGCTTTTATAATTCCACCCCATCCAAATCTGTATTTATATAAATAAAATGTCCAAAAATTCAATCAGTTACCGCCGGAATCTCCGTTACAACTGCCCGTTCCAAGTGTTCCCCCGCCCGCGCAAATCATCGAACTCGAGTCAAAATTAGAACCAAACTCTGTCTCGCAAATGGAGGGGTTTCTAATTTCCACTACGGCCTCTCTCAACCCGCCTGTTCCACCGTTTTCACTGCAAATCAAAATTACCGATTTAAAAAAGTGTGCCCGTCTTAGGCCTCGTTTAAAATCTTATCAATTTGTTTTTCAACTTTATGCTTACCGAGAATACCCAAATCCCGACAGTCCGCAGGCAACCCCTGCAATATATTATAAATTTCAACCACATGTGAAAATTTACATGCTAAAAACTAAACCTGCAGGAAAATCAATTCCTAATAATCAGACACCTTTTTGTCAAATATTTTAAATCTGCTCAAGGAACTTTGAAGTTTTTTATAGTTTTGACCACGTGGGAAAATTGACTTGCTAAAAATTACATACATCTTTCTCGCAGAATTGATTTTTGCAGGAAAGATTCGAACCCGCACAAACAATTACATACCAATTTCTACATGGCTTCCTTGTCCAGCAATTCGGATCGGGACAATTTCTTCGCTAAAGTCAAACGGGACTGAAACCCGGATGAGTGCGATATCATCGACCCCACCCCCTTGTACATAACCATCGGGATGTGAAACTCTCACCGCTCGTCGTCCATCCCCCGAGACTTCGTTAATCCCCCCAGCAAAGACGAATATCCCTTCGACCGGAAATCTCAGGTTGGTACGTTTATCGTATAAACTGTGTCAAAAATTAGGTATCATTCTTGTGAACATTTGTACAAAATGGGAGCATCATTTTTAAGAGTGTGAATTTAAGGTTGAAAACTTGTGAGATAATTTTCCTTAAAAATTTTTCTCACGGAGTTCCAAATAAATTTGCTCCATCAATTTATTAAAATTATAAAGTTACCAATGAGCCGCTGTTATGACCGTATTTTCGTCGTATAGCGTCCCACCACACTTGTACGTTGTGTTGTCATGAAGGATCAAAACCTGCCAGGGAACCTCTCCCAGAGCTACGTTCCTCCCAGGTCCGGTCACTCCTGTCAAAAAAATATTTGTAATTTGTAATCTCATAAATTGAAAAAAGTACATACACACGTAAACACCCGAAGAACAATTTGATTTGGGAAATTTTGTTAAATTCGTATTTGTCCACACCCACAAATATCTACATACACAACTCACCTTGCGTAATGCTTAGAAGTGCGGAAAATAGGACCCCATAAAATAATACGAGACGCATTATTATTTATTTCAATGAGAACAAAATTTCTAACAGACGATAAATATACCAGACCAAACCACGCATAATACTGACATTCCAGAACTCACGACCTGCGCTTATAAAATTACGATTTAATTAATTGCATACATAACTTCAATTAGCAAACTTTCCAGTTTTTCCCCCTCTCAAGATCCTCAGATAGTGTTCCTCATTAGGTTTTCTACGATGAGAAAAAATCCTTAATTAATGTTTGCGTAAGAAATTAGCAAAAAGGAGAAACGCAAATATTATAGGGACATGCGCCACTTGTGTGATCAAAAGTACGTATATATATTCTGATTTTTGTCCCTTCAAACCGTTTACATACATAAATATGCATCGGACAAAACCAGAAATTTCGTAAAGGTTACCTTTATACCACATAAGTTATGCAAGGTCCCTCATCCACGCGTATCTCCCTGTCATCAATTAAACTCCAAACACGGATAAAATGCCACAATCGTGCTGCTACCGTATTTGTTTTTAAGTCTGCATACATACATTCATACGTACATACATACATACATAACTAATTAATGCAAGCACGTATGTATGTATTTATGTAATATTATATCACACCTTATTTATTTCAACCCACCTCATTTCCAGACATTGACGTTGGCATTTCGACTGAATTAGATGCCTATTCATTCACACGGAATGACATAGATACAAAGATGAATACATAACTAACGACTGAAATAAATAAATCAAGGACAATAAATGTAAGTCGGATTTTGCATCTCAATTTTAGCCATGCCGTGTTAATCCCACACTGGTAGAAATCTCGCATAAATAAACAGACAGACAGATATTGATCTCTGGGTATTCAAAATGCTATCGTCTTGTATTAAACTTGTACCGGTTCGAAAGCAATTTTCTCCCAATATGGAAAAGATCTTCAATGCCGAAATATTATTGCGCGGTATCAATTATCAATGCAATTTTGGCAGGTCATACATATATGTATCAATACTGCCTGGTATTTTTTACACACTTGATTTCTAGCATATGTACACAATTTAAAACAGTTTACCAGCGTAGTACATATCTATTGTCATGCTTCCGGTGACTGTATTTATAGAAAACTAATAAATACTTCATTTCACGGATCACTAAATATACATACAATTGTGTATTCTTGTAATACAAATCAATTCATGTACATATGTATGTATGCATACCAAAACTAATTCCCACCTGCACGCCACAAATGCTTGTATCAAATCCATATCATTACCGTGGTGGAATAAGGTATGAGTAATACATAAATACACAATAAGGTGATATGTAGCATCATTACCACTTTTTGTTGTTGACAACAATAGCACCACCACCATTCACCCACTTGTTAGATAGACGCTTCTCATCCCCCTTGTACATACATAATTCGTCGCATGCATAAACCTCTGCAAGCAATACGTATTAAAACAGGCCTGGATTTTGTTATTGTTATGGTGACCACATTATTGCAATATCACGTCGTATGTACATATGCAATACCATCATCATCTCCTCCACCCCTGCAAAACTAGTTAGTCTTATGCACATACATAGTTTTTTATATCAAGGTAGCATTGTATTTTGCCATGTGTTTTATTAATTTGTTTCGTAAGTTTAAAACCGTGTACATAAATGTGCTTTTGTAATATTTTACATCATTTAAAACTAAATTTTATATAAAAATAAATAAGTTTTATCGGAGTGGGTATGATTTCATACATATTGTGCTAAAATTTTGCGAAGTTTACGAAGCTATTTCGTATATAAAGTCCCACCAGAGTGCATTTACTTACACACACGTTACAAGTCGTTTACAATTTGCAAAGTTATGCAATAAAAAATAAATACTTGAAACTGCAAACTTCACTTCAGGATTTTTATTTTGTGTAAAATATAAGTTTACAATCTCGGCATTTGAATTTATTGGTACACAAAACATTACAAAGTTTGCGAATAAATTTCGCCTTTAACAAAAAACACTTTAAATTGGAAACTTACAGGACGAGCAGCATAGAATTTGACTTTTTGTAAATTCCTCTTCCAAAGGTTGCAACCCAACCATTTTAATCACAAAATTACGAAACTTGCGAATAATTTTCGCCAATTTGATTCTACTTCAGAGATGGATAAGGGAAACCCGATCCCAACCTATATCAAGAGAGGGTTGCCCAACTTGTTAGCCGCGATTTGCGTCGCCCTCTCGACTACGTTGCTCGTCGTGGCGTGGGCGACGCCGAACTGGCTGCAGTGGAACACGGGGGTCACGACGAACTCGATTTTCGACAAGTTGGGCCTCTGGGTCAAGTGCAATAACAATCGGGACGGAAATTACGGACAGACAACGTACTGGCCGGGATACTGGGAGACGACATCCTCCCTCTGCGTGTGGATTATCGGTTCCAGCAAAGTTTCGGGTGGGTGGAGTTGCAGATTTTATAAAGCAGAAAGTTTCCAGAATTTTGAAAAATTGGAAACCTGGAACCAGGCTTTTTGCACATGTTTGTTTGTGTACAAACTTAAATTATGGAAAAGATTGTATTAAATTATTACTGGTACGTATGTATCTATAGGACCCTATAGGCACGGTAAATAACAGTTATTACCGCTTAGTCATGGTAATGAAACACTTACTAACAAACAAACTATTACTAGTCCGGTGGAAAATTAGAACCAAGTCAATACCAGTGTGTAGGATATATGTACCTATGTACATACATGTGTAAATATGCGTGTCCACCGGATTGGTTACAATGTTCGCACTGGTCATACATACATACATACATGTGAATACAGTGTGACACAATTCACGCAATCCTTTGTAACTTGGTAAAATCTGTAAACTTACAAATATTACCAGGAGAAAAGTAGTCAAAAAGTTTGTTCACATCAAGCCAGTTAATTTATTTTGTAAATGTTTGCAAATTTATTTTACAAAATTTGTAGACTTTACAAACTTACCAAGGACTTCGTGCATGGCTTCGATTTATGTATATGTACATACATATGTACATTTTGCGATTTACTTGAAAAATTTACATATGTGCCTATCAAAAATTTCCAGAAATCCATACCCGTCGGGTAGCTTGCAACTTTTATTGCACTAATTTAAGGAAATTTCACATATTTATTTCATTACTTTTCAGCATACCTGGTTGCAATTCAGGTCCTTTTCACCATCTCGACCCTGATTCTGGTCGTCATGGCAGCCTTTCTCGCGGTATACAGTTGCTGCAAGAGGTCCTCCATAGGAAAAAAATTCCTCATGGTTACCACCGCTCTCATCTTTTTCTCAGGTAGCGATATAAATTTGTACATAGTTTACAAGCAAATATTATTCGCGATCAAATATTTCTAATTGAGGTATTAAGGACAACTAAAAATTGTTATATTAGTTTTTTGCTTTCAAAATTTTAATATGTAAATTCTTTAAAATTTGTCAAATAGACCTTTTTTGCTAAGAAGAACAATATTGGGAATTTGTTTTTTAACCTTAGCTCATTCCATTTACATATTCTTTATCAAAACAAACATTATCGGGTTAACGTAAAGTGAGGGATTAATTAACTGGTATGTTTAGGGCATGTTTAGAACCATTATCACTTGGTAGTGAATTATAACCTCAGCTGCATATAATTATGTATGTTGAAAGCAAAATTGGATACCCAATTATAAATATGTATATGTAAATTCGTCAAATTATTGTATAAATAAATAATTTTCTTTTGTCAGCTATCCTGGGGACGATTTGCGTCACTTTATTTGGCGTCAAGGTGTACGACTGGCGCAGTTATGATAACTACTTATCCTGGTCCTTCCACCTGGCCGTGGTCGGGCTCGTCTTTCAATTCATCGCGGGATTCCTGTTCCTCAACCTGACCCGAATTTCGGCCACCGTCGGAATGGGATATGCAGTCCCCAACGGCAACAGGAACGGGCATCGCTAAAATTTTAGTAAAATATTACCTTCGTGTAAATTGTGAATTTCAACGTTGTAAATAAATAAATATGAAAATACATAACGTAAACTTTGTAAATTGTGAAAGGGAAATAAACTCTATAATTTTTTAATGTTAGAGAAAACATCGGCGTAAAATATTTGGGGATTTGAATCCTGTGTAAATTTTACAAATATGTACATAAGCCACCGATTTTTCTTTTCAAAGGTTCTAAAAACAATTTCAAAACATTTTAAAAATAAGTGCAAAAAAACTAAAAGAAAAATTGTAAATAATTTTGAGACAAATCGTCACTACCGGAAGGACTGTATTGCTCTATTTTTGGGTAACGATTACGGTGACGTTGGGGAAATAAGAGCTGCCCACATATTGTAAGTGTCAGGACATTTTGACCTGCAGGAAATGAATGCATGAATCAAATCTAACGAAATTTTTATGCAATAGTAACGATGATCATATCGAGGTGTTATAATCGTTAAGTTGTCCAAATACACCTTCCCTACTGGTGGAGAAAATACTTTGTGGCGCACCTTTCATGAGCGCTTTGCCACTCATTTCACCAATGTCAATGATGAATTTCTCTATAACCCGTCGAAATTTTTCGATTTTTTTAGTGTCCTTTTTTCATGAGAGTATTATTTCTTAATTTATGCCCAAAATCATTCAATGGGTCGATACTGAGGTACTTGTAAAGCGTTGTCTCTTTTCTCGACGAAATCGATTTTTTTCCCTCGATGGTACAATGCCATTATTTTGGCATTCTAGCAAGTACGCATGTTAAACCAAAATAAAACGCGTTTGTTTTTGATAGAGGGGGTCAATCTTTTGATCATACACTCTTTCAAATAAAGTTTAAAGTTCATATTCTTCGTGGAAACGAATGGATTTGAGAGGCTCCCATTTTTGTCTATCGCCAGTCAATTTATGCATTTCACTGGTAATTTTGCTTAGCTTTGAATTTTTACTTCGAACGAACGTCATTTCTACTTCAACATGAGTAGAACTATTCACCATTGACGCTTCGAGGTCAACGGGGCAGCAGTTTTCATTATCCACGACGAGAAAATTCTTGGAGTTAATTTTAACATTTTTTCAACAAATTTTCCACAAATTGATTCAGCTCCAGCTTTTTTATCTTCATTGTGTTTTGTCGTGGTTTTAGTGTTGCAAGTTTTGAAGCCCATCATATTGGCTTTGATCTTGCGAAAATATGTTTTTGAAATTTTTAGTTTTCTGGGTGCAGCCCTCACGGATTTGTTGGGGTTTTCTGTAAAAGTTTTTTCATATTTCTTGTCCGTATATTGGTCTTCTGGCGGACAGGTCGACAAGGCTAAATTTTATATTTTGCGTTTTCACGATCTTTAGATATGCATAGTGTATGATTAATTTTGTCCGGTGCATCACTTGACGGGTAAAGTGGTCACGATCCTTTTTCCGATCCGAGAAAACCACTTTTTCTCACGAGTGGCAAACTAATTTTTTCACTTCCTCTAAATTTTGTGCTGTCATTTCTTAACGAAAAGAGATAATCAAATTCTGTTTTCCGTTTTAGAAAGCTTATGAAATTTACTAATTTTTACGCTTTTTACATTTGCAAAATTCATTTTCAACTATGTGAACCAATAGAGGGAACCTTGACACTTTCAATACGTGGGCAACTCCTACATAAGTCAAAAACTAGTGTACGAAACACGCGTAACGTCTTAATTATACACAATTTTAACGTTTTTATCTCACCATATGATTTTTTTACATGAAAGTATTGCATTTTTTAAATGAAGACGTCACGCGTGTTTGGTACACGAGTTTTTTGCTTATTTCCCTCTGGTGATAAAGTATGTCAGGTGAGTCACCTGAGGTGACCATTGGTCTCCAAATTATTTAGAGTGTACAGCGTAAATTACTTACAGAATATGAGTAAACTATGGTTACCCTTCAGTGATAAATTATTACCTGAGCGGTTTAGTACCTCCGCCGGTAACAATCATACCCAAAATTGTGTAACTTAGACTGAAATTTTAAGAGTGTACCTGTAACCACGTTAATTCCACCATTGATATGAATCTCTTCCACATGGCGGGTCATCCCCCGCCACGAGTTGGCCCCAGAACCACATCGGTCACAATAAATCATAAATCCTTTCCGGGTTACGTCCACCCCGCAGTGGACCATTTTCTTCGGTAATTTTGGTTTCCTTATATACACAAGTTTTCTCCTTGGAGGAAATTCCTGAAAAACCTGAAAAATATTTTTAACAAGATTAAAATTCCAGGGATAACAAATCAAAAACTTTTCCAGAAAAATTGTCCATTTTTTACCTCAGGGGCCTCCAAACGTGCCACACTGAGAGCAATTTCCTCTCCGAGGGCGATTACGGATTGCAGGGGATCAATAGAATCAATATTTTCGCTCGGAAAGTAGTCCAGCTCGACTTCACTATCTTCACCGACTTCGATTTTGACTTTCACGACGACTTGTTCAGGTTCAAGGTTTGGTTCGAATTCCATCTCTTCAGTTTAGAACTCCGTTTTGAAGAACGATTTTGTCCGCGTGAAAGCCTGATTGAGACCTTCTCCTTCAGTAGCTAGATACATATGGGTACAAACGCATGTATTTTAATTATTTAGCCCGTGAATTACTCTTCATCCGAAGGAAATGTGGCCAAATTTCTCTAAGAGGTTAACTGGCAGCTAGTGTATATCTATGTAATTTCTTCAAATATCTTTGAATTCTGGTATGGTTTCTACGAAAGATAAAATAATGAAAGTATTAAATAAATTCCACGTGATACCCTTTTAGAATTTTCTGGGCCACATCAACTTGTTTTAATGAACAGTAGTATACAAAATGGACGTAAACATATAAATGCAATCCAAAACTCACGGGATGTGTGATCTGCCGTAAAATTGGGTGAATCCGTTCCTGTAAAAATCCTTGTCCAGTGGCGCAATTAGCATGTAGGCAAGGTAGGCAAAAACTAGGGGCCCCGCGACATCAGGGGCCCCCACGTCTGCTAACCATACATAATTTACAAATTAAAAAAATTTTATTAGTTAAAGAAACTCGTGATCGAAGAACTTAGGTAATTGGTCTTGAACATTTTCAAAGTTTTATGGTATTTTAATCAAAAGTTATGTGTGTTTCAAGTTTAAAATAAAATGATTATCAAATACTTACATACATAAGTATGCAGATTTTCGACAAATTTTATGTCAAAAAAATATTTGAAAATTTAAAACGTTTAATCAGCTTTTGTAGCCAAAATCTGCATATTTCGTTTCGAATTTTAGAATGTAAAAAAATTTATCTTAAATGCTAAAATGCATAAAGACAAACACGCAAAACTATTGTGGTCATTTGCCTAGGGGCCCCCAAAATATAGTTGCGCCTCTGTCCTTGTTCAAGGCGACAGTCAGAGTAAATTCTAAACATTTCAGGTTGAACATCAGCGTTTAACAAATAACAATTTAACGACAAAGTAGGGACCGTCCATATATTATGTGATGTAAAAGGTGAGTGGGTGATTTGGGGTGGCCTATCATAAATACTCGCAGCATGAGTAGGTTTGGGTGGGGGTTGTAAAGTTCTTCGCATTGTAATGACGTAACATATGAACGTTCCCAAAGTTTCCGAATTGATATAATTGTCGAATTAAATAAAATCACCTCCAAATTTCGACACTATTTTAAATATACATACGTAAATTTGTTAATTGGTCAGCGAATTAAGCTTAATATTCTTCTCACCCGAAGTATTTGTCTCATCAAATTTTCCAAAGTTTCGTTCCCCTCAATTTCACCCATGTTGTGGCACATTATTGAGTAAATTTTGAGTAAATCTTGCCCCAGATTGCAAACATGTTTCGATATCGTTCCCAACAAATTTGCACATTTTCCACAACAATGGAAATCTTCCCGACAGAAATTATTTTCCCCTTCGAGATTAGAATATTTAATCGTGTTCAGATAACGTAAGAACAGCGGGAACAAATCCGACCTACAACAATTACACCTTGATAAACATGGAATTCGGCAAAATATGCAAATTCCAGAGACTGCCATGATTACTTTTTTGTTGAAGTTTAAAACCAAATTTTGAATTTATTTATTCTTAATCCAATTGGCGTTTTGAGCCGAATCCAATCGATTCACCTGATCGGACTCACCTGTTGCAAGCTCGCCTTTGTTCAGAAAATGCGTACATTTGAAAAACAAGTATGTAAATTTGCATGAAAAAAACAGCAGCAATGGAAACGATTTGTACATGCATCTAAGGATAAGTAAATCCTGTTATTAATACTCGCAATTTAAGGGAAAACGATTTCCTTAACATCACATCGTAACTTATATATGTATTGTCAGTATCAATCATTACTACCTATTTATTACCCAGCACGTTATCAGATATGGAAAAGTATATGTCCATATGTATGAATAAATTGTAGCCAAGTTATGCAAACACTTGTGATTACTTGAGGTCTGTGTAAACAATCAACGTTGATTAAAACAGATTATACAAGTTAGCGTAATTTCATTTACGTAAGTAATTTGAGTTATAATTCCGAATGTGTATTTAAACATCTGGCAAAACTGATTAGCAGGGTTGGTTTATCTACGAGTCCCATAATTATTTGTTTTTCTCAGGTGAGGCAATGGTATAAATTGTTACGGATGAGTTCTGAATAAGCTTATACATACATGATGAGTTGGCCTTAAGGATCCCATGGATGACGCGTTGGCGCGTAATCTCACTGTGCCCCTATCCAATGTATTCAAATGCAATTTCTAAAATCGAATCAACTCCATGAGTATTGAGATAAATGCAACTCTTGATATTTTAGTCTAAAGCTAATTTTTGGTACTACAAACAAATCGATTTGAAAAAATTAAAAAATTCGTTTGCCGATTTTTCACAATAAATTTCCTCGAAAAAGAATTTTTTAATTTTTTTAAATCGACTTGTAGTACCAAAAATTAGCTTTAGATTAAAATATCAAAAGTTGCATTTATCTCAATACTCATGGAGTTGATTCGATTTTAGAAATTGCATTTGAATACATTGGATAGGGGCACGGTGAGATTACGGGCCAACGCGTCATCCATGGGAACCTTAAAGTCGTATTGCATGCGAGTTTTGAATTCGATGATTTTTTATTTCTCAACTTTCCCTTCTTCCAAATATTTTTGAAACGGTTTCATCTCTGTGCGTTTCCTAAGAAATTAAGATTTTAAGATGCATCTAAAAATGGATAATTTTTAGGTTTGCAACATTAGGGTGTTACAAGTTTGATTTTTTTCTTGTACGTGAAAATATAAATAAAAAATATCTAAAATTAACTGTTTTCTCATTAAAGAAAAATCAAAATTCTAACCTCATAACTTTACAAAACATGGTGTGCGGATACTGCCGAATAATAAATTTGAATAATTTGTTTTGAAATCTGAATTATAGGATTTATCTACATACATACATATATGTATTTAACTATGTATATGCACCTTATTAAAAATAATATTAGCCCTTTGAATAGTAAATGTATTCTGAATTTAATATTAACCAAACTATACTAAATCTAGGTTAACTTTACCTTCAGAAAGAGTAAATACATTTACATAAAGAATACCCTTACTTTTCAAAATGCTAACATTATTTTTAAGAGTGTATAAGATTACTGTGTAATTATAAACGACCTGGGCTGATTACGTGTTATATAATTGATCTCATTTACGCATGAACCAATTCACCCGTTGGTATTTATTTCTGCCCTGTTTGGCTAACTGCCCCATTGTGATTTTGCCCACTGTACAAATTACATACTCTTAGAACTAAATACTTACTAGGATATTTGTAAGCAGAAAAATGTACGTTAAGCCATTACTTTTTGTACATCTTGCCCTACAACTTGTACCTATACACTTGAACAATGCTGTAAGAAATATATCGCTAAAGTTCTCAAATACTAAATATTCGCTGGAACCATAAGTACATACTTATTAAGTTATCTTTTTAGATTGACCAATTATCTGGAGACCAATTTATGGGTAATTTGTAATTAAAATTAGAGACAGATAAGGTCACGTACTGTATTCACCAGGCTTGGGCAAGATACTTTGTTTTAAGATACAAGATACAAGATAAAGATACTTTTGGAAAAAAATCCAAGATACTAGATAAAGATACTTTATTCTCTGTTTTTGCCAAGATACTTCGATACTAAGTAAAAGATACTTTTTAGTATATATTTGTAAAGATACAAGATACAAGATAAGATAAAGTATCTTAAATATTCCACAAGATACAAGGTACTTTAGATTTTTTTTTAGATTTAAAAAAGATAAAATTTCATATTTTTTGCCATTTAGGCATCGCCAGTAAAATGGAAGTCTTACTATTGACTAGTTAGTCATTGAAAAACACCTTCCACTATTGACTGGGAACTGATCAAGGGTGATGGAATTTCTGCCCGCCAAAAACACGTGCCCATTTAATTAACATTGCGAGCGGGCTGAAATTCAAATCAAATCCATCATCCTTAACCAGTTCCCAGTCAATAGCAAAAATAACACGCATATTGTCTTAAAAATTACAATTACTACCTAATAAATCATCAGATAAGCGAACTTTAGATGTCGCGGGTAACATATTTTGCAAAAAGTATCTTGTATCTTAAAAAGTATCTTAGATACTTTCCTCTTGATGGAAAATATCAGATACAAGATACAAATACAAGATACTCATTGAGGTTTCTCAGATACAAGATACAAGATACTTTGAGCTGAGGCGGCTGGAAGATACAAGATACGAGTAGTATCTTGTATCTTGTATCTAGTATCTTGTATCTTAAAGTATCTATCTTGCCCAAGCCTGGTATTCACTGACACACAAATAATTGCATAATTATTTAGTCCCAACCCAGACGGAGATTCCGGACGGATTTTTGTACCTCGGACAATTCGGAACCAAGGCGTATTACTATGGAAAAAGAATTTGCGTAAATAATGATGGCATTAATTATTTATTCTTATCCTTAGTATCTTAAATTAGTTTAAGATAAAACAAGGGGTAAAAGTTTTAACTTTATAAGCATGATTTTCGATGACAAAATCTTACTCCGCCTCCAAAACCGTGTTCCTGTCGCAACTTATTTTACGATACGAAAAATATCTATAGACAGATCTAGTTAATACCCTCAGTATCAAACTTCATATTAATTTTGTATACTTTATCTGCTAATATTTCATTTCTTGGACTAAATTATTGCGCTAAAATGTGAAGCATATGTAAGAAATAGGCGCCTTCCAACCTAGCAACTAACCCACCGTGCTAAACTAATATGTAGGGATTGCCGCATTGACTGCATTTTTTGCAGTTATTTTCTGCATGATTTAGTCGTTGAAGTATTTTAAAATGCAGAAACAATGACGATAAATACATAGTAATTTATGGAAAATGGTGCGTTTTATGTACATATAAAACTACGATCACATTACCACAGTTAAATAACATTTGCTGGAAAACTTATATATAGCTAAGGCAAAACCAAGCTAGAGAAAAATGCGCCGAACTTGGCATGAAACTTGCCCGAATCGACGGCACGGAGGAGATTAACTGGATTAACGATAGGATTAATACGCCCTCAACTAATTGCGGTAATTTTTTGACCAACTAATCCTAAGGTCTTAAAAATTAGTATATTTTTAACCATTTATCGGCTCTGGAAATTTATTTTAAAATTCTGGTAACCAAATTTGTAAACCAGGTCGTTGCAAATTTAAAAAAAAAACATACAGTCCAAATTTGGGTAATTGTTGAAGAAGAAAATTTCAATTTTAAAGAATCCTTCAGAAAAATTGGAACTCTTTCATATCTAGAAACCGACTTACCTGGGAAACTTATCACCGTTCTTTTAATCGACCGACTATGTACATGTCTAGAATTTTAAAATAAATTCCTGGAACTGAAGATTTTGTCACGTTATCTCTAGTGTTTTTCTGTTCAGATAACCCCTGGACGGACGGTGAGCTTATCACAGATACGGATTCTTTCGAGTGGCGCACCAACCGCACTTCGCTATCCACTGACCTGCACATCGATTCTGACGACAATTGTTGCGTTTGGGTGGATTTAATAGGACGCCGTTTGCGCGCCATTTATAGGAATGCCGTTGCTTCACCGTTATGTTATTTAGAGACACGTGGTGACGTTACTCGTCCACAAAATAATAATATACCCGGGTTGTCTAAAAATTCCCGGGAGGATTTTTTCCAAAATGGGAAGGTCCTCATTCCTGAGAGTCAAGGTCAAAGCGTGCATGCTGAACTTAATTACGTGGGGACGTATCACGGCAAAGAGTTCTACTTTGGGACGGGATACAGGAACCAAGGGGTAAATTAATAACATTAGTTCATGATAAGACAAAGGAAATAATTTAATGTCCCTCTAAAACAATTGGAAAGTCCCTCCTATTAAGTCTAACATCGAAATTATGGAAACTCACCCCTTAATTTTTAAAATGATGATTAAACGGTTTTGAGGACCAGATTTCAAAAACCCATACAATTTTATTTCCACTCAACCAAGCTTTCCACAACCAATGTTGTCTTCCTCGGTGTCACAAGTACGATATGGTTTTTGTCCCAGGACGCTACTTCAAAAATTTTTTGTTGACCACAAATTAGAATTAGTTTCCCTGGGAAATTTATGGAATTTTTAGTAGGGGAAGAATAGCTGGTAACCAGATCTGATTAATTTTCCTTCCATTCTTGTTGGGTGGATTTTTCTTACATAATATATGTATGTATGTATAATGCTTTTTTAATTTTTTAAATTATTTGTCCTCATATTAATTTTCACATGCCTCTTAATTTATTTCGAGGACTTCATCGAAATAAATTATTTCGAAAACATTTCTTATCGTACATAAATATGTCTGACTGGTTGTTTTGTCCTCCGCTTACGCATTTGTACTAAAAAGCAATTAAAAGTAGATACATCATTTTTATTGCGGCGTACAAAAACTTGCATTTTATTTATCAAGTATCCTCGTAATTTGATGGGTTTCGTATTTTTGTACTTTTTTTAATTTTAAAATTTTTAAGGTTAACCATGTTCATTTGTGCCTTGCAGGGTACTCAATTTCTTGGACGAGTTAAGTGTGCCGAGGCTGGCATGAATTTTGCAAAGATTGACTCGCCCGAGGAGATTGCCTGGCTGAGTTGGTTGCTCCCACCTAGTAAATACACTCTAAATAATTTTTAGATAATTTGGCTATATTCTTGGGTTTAATGATAAAGAGGACAATGTGTCACCAATGGGTAATAACTCAAAAACTCGTGCACGTGCACGTGCACCTAAAACCCGTGACGTTGTTCTTAAAAAATTTAGAATTTGATGTTAACCAATCTTATGTCCAGATATAAATGGTCGATTTTTTTATAAAACAACAACGTCACGTGCGTTTGATACACGACTTTCTGATTTGTGTCCCCGTGATAAAACGTCTCCGTAATTGTAACCCTATTAATAAGAGTGACCAAAATGTAACCAAATGTTAACGTTTGTGACTCTACCGCCGTGGTTATAAATTTTTCGTCGAGTGGGTACAACTGCCACTTACTAATTATAAACTCTCACCGACATGATATTAAATTGTCAGAGCTACAAAATTTATAACCGGTGACAAATTCATAACCACTGCGGTATTCATATACGCTTATATATTTTTGAGTTATCGTAACCCTACTTCTAAGAGCGTATAGTAACTCCGCGGGTGATGATTTATCTCAAAATTATTTAGAGTGTACACACATTTGATCCATAAAAGTCTGCAAGGATGTCTCAAATTATGTAAATATGTATGTATGTAATAATCCATAAACAGCGAACTACTGGACGGACGGTGTGCAGAAATCAAGCCCCTTAAGGTATCACTGGGCTACAGATCAAAGTCCGCTAAACAGTGAACTTAATGTCACAAGTGTCGCCCTTGGTTTAGCCTTGAACACATTTGCGAAGCTCGTCACATATGACCAAAATGACACACAACGTCTAATCTGGTATTTGTGCTATCAGTATCGGTTGAAGAAATGATTTAATGAATAAATTTGAACTTTAACTTGACATGTGTAGTTAATTTAATTTGATTGCTGGGCATGCCAAGTTGAATGTAAAGTAATAATTAAACGAACGACATTAAGGTTTGAGTATGAATTTTGCATGGTATCTGTAACTAAAATTTAAATATTAAAGTTCATGCTATATAAATTCGCAAATTGGGATTCTATATGAACTCAGGGTTTCGATTGCTAAAAACCAAATTGACCAGGGCAGCAGGAAAAAGTGGGAGAAGGGCGCTTTTTACCACCCAGCCAGAATAGGTGGGAAATCGGAAAAATTAAAGAAATAGGAAAAACTCCGGTTTGTGGCAATCCGAATCAACTTCATTAAAACTTAAGATCTTCCAAATTTTAATTCGTATTCTCCATCAACTTCTGAGAAAATTATTTGGTAATTCGGCTCAATTCAAACAATCTAAAAGATTAATATGATATGTCTGTATTCAAATGAGAAAATCAGAAAAAAATCAAAATTGCTCGAAAGTTCCCGTATAAAACGCTCGTCGACACTATATTTAACGTTCTCCGCCGGACTAATTTAACACTCAAAGCGGCCTAGGCCTATCAATCTCAATATGAAAAAACAATTTTCGGTTACGCCGTGTCCTATTCTGGCCTTATCCCCAAAAATTAGCGGCCATCCGGCAAATTTTTCCTACCACGGATCTTACCAGTGTTAGACCCTTCTTCGGGATGGTGGGAATGTTCCAGTCTCACATCCGCTCCTTGTTACACATCGAAAACCCACTCAATGACCTCAGAACCAAAGGGACATTATTTCCGTGGAATCATGAATGTCAAAAACCTAAATCACGCAAATTGCCAAGCTTTACACGCCGCCGACTCTCTCAATCTTCAATCTTCAATCTAATCTCCCCTCAGATCTGTAAATACATGGACACCTCTGCTCATGCTATCGGGGGAATCTTAGGTCAAGTTGACGATGCTCTAAGCATGCCAGTGTTCATTGCATTTTTCTCAAGACAGCGTTCCCCAGTACAGCAGAATTTTAATACAGGCGATCGAGAACTGTTTCGCACTATCTGATGTCTTCGAAAGTTAAGGTACACAGATCATTACGCGATATCATTTCACCTCAAACTCGAAAAGTCGAAGCTCCTAGTGGCACGGTGGTTATTAGAATTGCAGCAGTACTAGCTGGAAATAAAGTACCTTCCAGGAAGGCCGCATCCCGCGGACTGCCTCTCCTGAATTAAGACCACAAGTCCCCCTTATTTTGAGGACAGGTCCACCAGTATACGATACGTGCTATTACTCGAACAACCGGGCTTTAAGGCACAGTTAGCAGAGGAACAAGCCACAGATCCTGCTTTCTCCAACATTATCAGCTAAATTAAAGAACGGCCTCCCGAAACCTGGCACGAACCGCTTAACAATTACTCTTCCTAATTCAATCTCCTTTACTACACAAATCCGTACACACACCGCCGCGTTCTTTGCGTCCCCAAGAAATGTGTACCCCGAATCTTACAATTTTTTTACGAAGATATGTTCGGGCCCATTTCGGGTATTCTAAGATGCGCCACCATATTCAAAGGCACTTCGACGATATGACAAGACTGCTCAAATTATGGGTGCGGTCCTGCGAATTATGCAAACAACTGGAAAGTAGAACTAGTTATATACCGGGACTCTACGAACCTTTGGCCCTCAATTCCTCAACGACACCGTTCGAAACCGTCATGGTCGACCTTCTCGGCCCCGTCACTCCTTCTATGCCCGGCTGCTAAATTTACATAGCGCTGTGCGTCTAGTGAACTATGTGCCACTTTATCCTCAATCATGTTATACTTAGATACGTGGGCCCAACAGCAATTATGTGCGATCAAGCGTCCGTTAACAAAGCAGATCTCATCACCAACCTATAAAAATGCGTAGGCTTTAACATGCATTACACTACCGCACATATTCACAACTTAAACTTGGCCGAGTTTGAGATATATATAACGACTCTTCAGAAAGCAATAGTATCTCTGATACAATATCAACCAAGAAATTGGCATTTGTTCCTGCAAATCGCGACTCATACAGTCAACACTACCTTCAACGTGGCTCATGGGTTTACACCATTCTATCTACTTCACGGGTATGAAGCCCGCACCCCCTTGATCAATTGTTCCCACCCCCCTTGGTCTCCCCGATGACTATCTCGAACGCCTGAATTCTGCCCGCTCCATCGCTCGCACCAACATCATCCAGTGCCATGAAAAATCTCGCCATCGCTTTAAGTCACACAAACCTGTGACATACCGCCCGGATGATCTTGTTATGGTATCATATCCAAATCTCACTTTGCTAGGCGGTCGTACGGGCTCGCGTAAATTCGTTTTCACCCGAAAAGTCCCTTTTAAAATCATCAAAGCCCTCACTGACTGAAATTACGAAGTCTCCCCTCTCTTTCAAGACGGGAAAAACCAAGTTTTTCATGTGAAATGATTGAAACCGTTCACCCAACGGCCCCCTAAACTAACTTTCACTCCCACAGAAAACCCAGATTTGACACAGCAGCCTCACCCTCGCACGACAGTTGCTGACATACCGGACCCATTACTCTCCATCTCCGTCACCCCCTTACAAACCAACTTTTCATCCAACCCTCGTGGTTTAATATATCACCCCCAAATTGAAGGAATCCTCCGGCGTTTTCATTACCCGGCCCATCGTCAACCATTTTATTTGCTCCAAGCACGCCGATCTTCTTTTACGTCTCCCTATGGTTCACGGCAAAATTTTCTTACGACAAGGTTCAAACAAACTGCCTAATAAACCTAGTCAAGCCTCCATTCTCTCCGCTGTGCCCCTTCGCCCAGCAACTTCATCGACCACCTTAACACTCGGATCAATACCATCTTATTTTCCCTCACCTCTCATCATCTCAACTTTTTTGAAATTTGAATTGGATAAACCTCCAGACGATAGTGACGAACTCCAGGATGATTTCCTTTTCAACAGCGTTACCAACTTTTGACCACGACGACAAATTCTTGTCACGTCCTGCTTAGTTTGGGTTATAATGGGCTTCGCAACATCCTCACTCTTTGGAGAAAGGCCTTCTTTCTTTTTAGCCACACAGACTGATATTAACCGTAAATCCGCCATATCTACCACTCCTTAATCACCAAACTCAATAGACAAGCGGAAAGCAACAGTTTACTGTACATGAGCTATTTGCGGCAGGTAGAGCTTCACTTTTCCCTACTCATTTCAGACATGATACAAGAAATCAGCCGCCTAGCCGACGCTTTTATGTATCAAAGTCTACTTTCATCGTGTCAGCAAAACCAGATCCCCCGAATCTCCTTGATAAACACACGCTCATCAGGGAACTTGTCGCTCTCCAGCAGCATATACACAAATTAGGATTCGACCTCGTTATCCCACCTCCACTCATATCTCCTCTATACTTTCTCCCGATCACCCATTGTCACTTTCACCCAGACCAACTTCAAATGAACCTCATCCTGCACATCCCTATTCGACTGCAACGACAAACTGTCTCACTTCTCGACCTAATGTCCATTCCTTTTAAACTCCACGATCCTTTCTGTCAACTGGAATTAGCCGAAGATGCGGGCAAATATTAGCGTACGCTCACATGCAAAATTGGAGCACAATATTCCTCACTGCCTAGTAATACCACCATTGAAATTCTCTTCTTTCAACAGCCATTTGCTCTGTCCTCTCACACATCTCGAGCCCGATTGATTAGGGATTGGAGAACTATCTATAGTGCTCGTCCTCCACTCAAACCCAGTCAGTCTTACACATATTGTTAGATAAAGCGGATGAGTGTATGGGAATGAAGTGTACGCAATGAGTCGCAAACCAAGATTAACTTTATTAAACACCGGGTTCGGATATTCATACCCGACAATATGTGCAGCCATGCTACTCCCAACTCAGCCACATCAACAGTACACGGATAAATTCATATGAAAATATAGCCACCATGGTTAGGCTCGAGCTCGTCTTTGGCACGATAATATGCATAAGTGCAATGGATTTAGCACAGTAAGCCTTACGCTGCACTAGGTAGACCACAAGTTTTGCTTATAAGATGAACAATAAGCACGATACAGACATTAATTAACATTTCTCCAGTTTTATTCACATCTACAACTCAAAACCAATCCGGAAAAAATATGTAAATCTTACCCAATGCTAATGCGCGATTCTGCTGCCACTGGGCTACAAGTTCTCGACGAACTCTCGAACTTTCCCCATCTGTTAGCAGGACACTTACAGTCCCGGGTATCTTCAAAGGATCCTTGGTTATTACCCGGTAACATGTTATAGCACATCTCCTCATCCTTCGTTCAGGATTTCAGCACACCACCTGAGATTACCTTCTACATGCACTCTCTACTTATCCACCATAACAATTGGACGTAATAGCTCTACTATCCTTCGCAGCTTAAGTTTTTGATATAATGTGTCCGGCAACCTATCGAACCCGACATGCATACAAATCTCCAGATCAGAACATACCACGTGCAATCTCGCAAGGCTTTCCCTCATCTCGAGACAGGTAATGCACATTCCTTACTTTTCGACTTGCTTCAAATCTTCAAAATAGCGTTAAATACCCGTCAGTCACTAACACACTCTGACATTCATTTTCCGCCTAATGACGTTGGACAACATGGGTCCAGTAGTAATGGCGATACTAGATCTAAATATCATTGTAGTGTCGCAGAGGTCGGTTGTACAGCCACACAGAATTTGATCAATGCCAACTGAGTTAGTGACATCACAGGAGTGTTTATTCATTAGGGTGCTCTCTTGGTGAACTCTCTTTGTTGGTGCATCTAAAAATATTATTTATATCCATTACCATTACCCGTTCTTTAGATAAGAATATGCTATGATGCTAATATAAATGATAATTTAGAACGCTGACTAACGTTTATGTATGAACTGGTGCATATACAATCGCCACAATTTTCCGGCAAGTTTGGTTCGATCTGCCATAGCTTTTTCCTG